TAGTATTTGTCATGAAGAGGACCCCCCATCTTATACATGCACACACCCACACACCTCACTACCGCTGCGAATTACAGATGAGATCGGGTGTGTTCAGGGTGGTATGGCTGTAGACCTGCTGCCAATCACAGAATAAAAAGTTATAGAATTTTGTAAGGCATGATCAACCCCAAAGTCTGGAAGTGAGATGGATTTTTGTCTTGATGATATGGTCAGAGAAACTTCTCCCTAATAGTTTCAGATTGTAGATTTCTATTTCTATAGGAGATGAGGACCTGTATCTGATGTCCATCAAGGGGCAACTCCGTATTTCCCCAAGACAGCATTATGGCCACCTGGAGCCTCTGAATTTGTGTTCTTGGAGGCTGTTTACCTTATACATGACTGAGGACTCTTTCAAATCACAAAGGAAATTTTAGAAAAGAGGATAAGAATGCTCCAGCAACAATTATATAAACCAGAACTTTATCCCACTGAGTTTTATAGATTCTAGTTGCAGGTGGTAAGCTCACAGATTGGCAGAGAGTGAAGTCCCCAACAGGGGGAAGAGCCTTCCTGGTGCCAGGGAACTGCATGGTCATATTAAAAGAAAAACACCAACACAAAAACAAAGAGCCACACCAAGCCAGGTGTCCCAGGTTCTAAGGACTGAAGTCCAGTTAAAAATAGGTCCAATCCTTCACCTCCTTGCAGGGCCAATTCCCAGAGAGCACCAGAATTTCAAGGCCCCAAGAGTGGGATGAAGACTTCCTCAACTCTTCACAGCACCCACTCCTCTTTGTGATTTATCCCCAGCACCAATTGTTTAACCTGCACTTTCTCTAGATATTTGGAGTCAATCATGCAGATAAACACAAAATAGTTTTGAAAGAAGAAATCCAAAAGAAAATGAAATCAGAGTATTTCTTTCCTTTCGTAACCAGTTTTTTTAAATGATGATATCATTGCTAATTTACTTTGAAAGCCGTAAGACCGGTCATTGTTAACAATAATGGTTTGGGAATTTATATAAGTTGTAAAATTAACTAACATTTTAAAATAGTATGCATTTTTCTAATAGTTTTTATTTATTAACCATTTGTTTGATCTTTCTTTCTTTTGGTACTGGGGATTGAACCCAGGAATGCTTAACCACTGAACCACATCCCCAGCCCTTTTTATGTTTTATTTTGAGACAAGGGCTCACTCAATTGCTTAGGGCCTTGCTAAGTTGCTGAGGCTGGCTTTCAACATTCGATTTTCCTGCCTCAACCTCCCAACCTCTGGGATAATAGACATGTTCCACCATACCTGACCTATTTCTTAAAATGATGGTAAGTGAGATATGATTTAACCTGCATTAGGATGGAATCAAAATAAAAATGGATAAGAAGGACACAAATAGAATGTAAAAAGTGCCATAAGATATTTCAAAAATAAGTAACATTTTTTTGTTTAATTAATCCAAATTTTAAATACAATGTCTGGCAGGGAGTGGATTCTCTCTGGCTCATTTAATAAGTAAATGAAATAATGAGTCATTTAAATGATCGACTACGGGAGTGAAGATGAAATAGAGATTATTTTCCTGGGGCAGAAGTTAAGGAGAATGACATGGAGGATTCGCCAACTGAGCCGTCCCTGTTGAGGTCTGATATTTGGAGATGAAAGGAAGGGCTCCTCAGGACAAGGAACAACATGAACACACTTAGCAGCGGGATAATGAGAGATGAACTTGGCAATGTATAAACCATCCCGTTCTGCTGAGCAGCTATCACAATATACACCAAAATACATTGGAACAAAAATAAAACTCAACAAGCCAGGCAACTTGCTGCCCTAGCAGGATTAGCAAAATGTGGGACGCAGCCCCACGGGGAAGTGGTTTGTCATTCGAAGCAGGCCAAGTCCTGGTCCTGGAACCATCAAAGTCAATCAAATTGATGCTAAAAGATGGACCAAAATGCTCTGAATTCCCCAGACCCCAGTTTCTTTATCCACAAAAATGTCATCGATAGTACCTATGCTGTAAAGTTGCCTTGAGCACTCTGTGGATTTTGATCTATAAAGTGGTTGACATACAATAGACACTTGGTGTGTGTTCATTCCTTTTGGAAATAGTAGTAGCCACAATAATAGTCAACATTATTTAGCCAGGTGTGGCCAGACATCACGATGTGGGTACCATTTATTCGAATTCTGCCGAGCCTATGTAATTATGGATAATAAGACAACTAAATAACTCACCCATTAAGTTCACTCTCTATTTGTGATTTACCTCATGCATTGATCGGCTCAGCTGCATCTGGTTAGAAATGTAAAACACTCTCATCACCGGAGATTAGGGCATTTCATGTAGATGAACATAAAACCAAACGTTTTCAAAGGAAATAAGGTAAGGAAGAAAATAGGAAGGCAAAACAGTATGTTGGGGACATATATCTAGAGCCGCATCCAAATCCAGATCCCTGTTTAGCCTTTCATTATCTCTGTGGCCTCGGGCAAATTACCTAATCTCCTTAATCCTTAATTTCCCTGTTGCAAAGAAAAAAAAAACAATGAACAGCAAAGTCCCAGTCACAATACCTACTTCACAGAGTCATTGTCTAAAGCATGGTGCACACAATAGAGATTATGATTGATAGTATCTGATTTTTCTGTATGTATTTCCTAGTTTCCATATCATGTCACCAACCAGGTCTTATGGGGAAGATGAATTTCCATGTGTGGGTAATGAAAGAGAAAGAATGTTTGCTTTGCAGTTATAAAATCCGAACCCTTATTCCTAGCTCTGCCACCAGCTCATTGTATGACCTTGGTCAAGAAAACATTTTTTACTTAGCCTCAGTTTTATCATTTGTTAAATGTAGAAGTTAGACTAAGTGACTTCCACCTTTAAGATATGTCATTTTAGGAGTCTATGTACCTCCTCTATGAAATTTCCCATTATCCTGAGTCTATATTGCTGGGAACAATTTGAAAGATCAACTAAAACCAATTTATCACTTAACCTATTTTTTCCATTTGAAGAGTCACAAAACCACACAAATAGAAAAGGAGGAAAAAGTCAGGCTTCTGCATAATGTAGGCTGTCACAGAAGAAATAACTCTTTCTCCTGTAACTCAGGTCTGTATCATGTGGGGTAGAACTTAGTGAGGAAGTTCTAACGGATCTAGAGTTTTGGTAACATGAGTAAAGACCATTCAGATTGTTGACTGAGGTTCTGACTTATGAATGAGACTAGTAGTTTGGGGTAGACCCCGATTAACTCAAGAACTGCTAGCTCTCAGGATTGAAAGACATCCCAGAGACATTTGAAATTTCCTGGATATTATTTGTGGAGACATTTTGGAGAACATTTCTTTATAATGGCCCCAAAGAGTTGAAGGTGGGTATTTTTAGGCTTCCCCAGGCATCTGAGAATGGGTAGCACCTGTTTCTCAGAAACCAAATGGCAGAGACATCTTTTGTCTGGTCTTCTTGGTACATTTTGGAGCACAGCCTGATCCCTATGGTGTGCTACATACCTCAACCACTTTGATCCTGAAACGAAATGTATGGAAAACACATGCTGCACACAGGCAAAGAACACCAGGATTGTACAATTTCGAAACAGAAACCTGGACCACCATCAAGACTTCCCTGTGCAGCACCATGGACAGCTCTCAAAACTACCTATCATTCTTGTCTCTTGATGGTGACTGTCAAGGCCCAGACTAGGGAGGTGGGGGAGGCAAGCAAAGCACTTACAGCTCATCCTGAGAGTGCGTTTTTCCTTAAATTTTGTGCCCTGAGTTCCTGTTTGTTCATCTTAGTTTTACCCTGTGGATAGCTCATTTGTTCATTCAGTGAACTGGCTCACAAAACAGCCCCTCCACTCAAGGGGTTTTGCTCCTTTGGGGAACTTCAAGACAATACAACTGCAATAGTTTGGCAGTGGTGGAACCCTTTCCAAAGTAAATTGGGGACTCGACCAGAAAAAAAACATAATAGAACACAAACATGTCCCTGGGCCACACTTGGAAGAATAGAGCTTTTAAAAACTATGACATTTATAATTCCATGACTGTAGAGATGGGTTTGTGTTGTTTGTTGCTATGAATGCTGTACCAGGCAAGAAAACAGGTAGTTCTCAGGGGATTTATTTGTTAAATGAACCAATAGTTTTATGCTGTGATAGTGAGCCATTGGGTTTCAGAAAGTGGAGTAGCTCATTTTGCTGTTTTTAGAATCACTCTGGCTGCATTATGCAGGTTGGATTAGAGCAGAAATGCTAAGGTAGGAAGACCATGTATGAGACGATGGTTGGGGTTAAAGTGAAGGATGCTAAAAGCCCATATGAATCCCCAAATAGATATAAGCAAAAGGATATGAGAAAAGGAAGAATATAGAATTAACAGAAACCTAGGCAGAAATGTAGATTTTTTTTTTTTTTTGACGAGAAGATTTACTTTGAGAGAGCTTTGTGTTTGAAATGCCTGTGAAATATCACAGAGCAGGTAACCAGGGGACAATTGTTCTGGAGGCAGGCCAGAAGTCTGGGTGGGTGAATATAGATCTGTTTCTGGAAACAGTTATAGGCTTCATGGAGACGTTTAATCTTTCTCATGAGACAACTAACTGGGATTTAAAATATAGAGAGAAGCAAATGAGGGAGAGCAGCAAACTCCGATATCTCGATATCATGTCAATTACACCTTGACAGACCGGTTTTCTCACTTATAAAACAAGGATGTTGGTTCAGGCTATTATCTTTGTTCTTTCCAAATTTCATGTTCTCTGACTATTTAACTCGGGATTTAGAAACCTAATGTCCACAGAGATAAGGTTAAGTTTTTCTAAGTTGGAAAGGTAGCCAGGCAGGAACCCTGAAAATTTGGAAAGTATATGCTCTACTGAGAGGGGCACCCACTCCTTTTCTCTAGAGAGCTATTGCCACATGAAAATCTAAACATGAGAACATGGTAGGGAGAGGAAGGTGCCTGCCATGTTTGATCCTCTTGGTTCAGTTCTTTTTCAGCTATAGAAGACAGAGTCACATGTGTTCCCAGCCACTGTGTGATGACAACCTCCCATCATTCCGCCTCATGTTCTTCACCAAAGTGGTGGGATATACTGGTTTGCACATAAGTGAAGTCTAAAGATGCACGCAAGTTTATGTCCCTTCAGGAACCATCAACCAGTGGGGCTGGGGGCTCTCGAATGCATCCTCTAGCCTCTCCTCTTTCTGGTAGGTCAAAACATCTGCATTATTTCCAGAGGTTAGGGAGGAACTTTTTTCCTTGTGGCCTTCAGTTGATAAATTTCAGGAAGTCTCCATGGGAGTTTTTAAATGACGCATCTCCTTGGGTTGAGATGGAAGGCACAACCCCAGCACACGTCCTGTGCTAGCAGGACCATCCTAGGGAAGAAGCGAGACCTTGAGGCATGGAGTTGGGACATTTGGGTAAATGTGTCTGTAAAATTTGTACCTGTGGATTTCCCTCAACCCTCTTGGGCAATAGAGACAGGCTATTTTCTCTTGTTAGAGGAGAATAGCTTTCCCCTCCTGCTATTCTTCTGAGATATGAGAAACCTTTCCTGAGATGGGTTTTCCTCAAAATAATGCTGTTTTCCTCATTATCTATCTCTCGAGGATTCATTGTTTTCCTACCACTAACTGGATCATTTACATATCTAATCATATGTAAATTGAGTGAAAACAATCCTTTTCCAGAGAATCATAGCTTACTCACTAAAGGAATTTAAGACCAAGCTAATCCATACCAGCAGGAAAATTCAAGAAATATATGGGGGAGAGAATCTTGATGGTGTTGAAGCAGGTGAGACAGAACACAGAGCTGTGTACGAATGAATTTATTGATGTAAGAAACTTCTTCGTGGTTTAGGGTCTAGCATTCTGGTAAAGACACCCGGACATGTCCTACAAAGCTTATGGAAAGGCTACTTGAACTTGGGCGTGATGACTGGCTACACTAAATGAATAAGGTATGGCAGAGTATTGTGGAATGGGCAACAAGGCTGAGGGAAGTAAAAGTGTTGGGATGGAGTACCACTGAACACTCTGCTCTTCCTGCAGGAGGGATCAGAAGTCATGGCTTTCGGTGGGCAATTAGTAATACTCTAGTGAGGGGGCAGCAGCAGGACTGAAAAGTTCAATCGTGGCTAACTGTTACAGATCAGGTGACGCTGCCATGCAACTGGGCTCCAGAGACGCAGAAGCTAGCTGGCAGCACTTTACACTGGAGGCAAGGTGGTCGTAGTGACCACACTTGGCAGCAAAGGCTGGGATGACAACCAGAGTTCTCTGACTCCCAGGCATCTGCCAGAATGACTGACAGATGATAATGTTCTTCGAGGTGAGATGAAAGGTGATAGATGATAGGAAGCTGATGAGGGGATTGCTTGTTTTGTATAATGGGAAGTAATTGAGAAGTGATGAGCAGATACATCAGCTCCAGCCATGGAAAATTGCAGTTCTTTCCTTGATCTCTAGATTTGAGTCAG